CATTGAGTCCCCTGGTGATACATTCAAACAGGCTGTTGGTGCCAACACCCCAGGGTATGTCTACACTAGCCCCTTAGTTCGAACTAGGGAGGCTAATGAGAGCGACAGAAACTGCAAATGAAGCACGGGATTTAAATATCCCGCACTTCATTAGCATGTTCCCAGGCAGTTGCCATTTTGGAAATTGACGAGCCTGGAATAACTGCCCGCATCTACACATGGCAGTGAAACGGGAGTTCGAAGTAAAGCCCTTAATTCGAATTAGCTGTTAAACCTCATTCTAGGAGGAATTCAGGTCTGATACACTAGTCATACAACCAGATTAACCTTCAGTTGTATAGGGAGCCAGTGGTTTAGCGAGGGAGCGCGAGGGGGGAGGGGAGGAGTTGCCCCGGGTGCCATGCTATGGGGAGCCAATTTAGTCCCCCTCCACTCCCCCTGTCATCCCTTGGCTCACCTGCTGGACCCTCCTCCATCTCCATTGGCGGGTTAGTGCATGTGGGAGCCCGGCCCCAAACTGGAGAGGGTGGGGGAAGATGTGGTACAAGCTCCCCCCCTTCCTCCCAGGGTTGAGCTCAGCTGTGTGCCAGATTCCAGGCCCTGCAGCACAGCAGCTGTGAGGTGGGGGCACAAATTTTGACTTTGCCCCCGGACACATAACACTTTTGCTACACCTCTGCAGGGAGCTCCTCTGTGTCTCTCTCATTCATTAGAAATTGCTTGCTACCTGCTTTTTAGACAAACTGGATGGCAAGGCAATTCTTGGATTGTCTAAAAGGTCTGTTAGATGTTTGAAATCAAGTTATTGACCAGCACTGCACACACAACTACAATCCCAATTTAAATTACAGTAGAATATTGGGATTAAAATATGCTAGTACAACCCTGTTGACTTCACTGAATTTGTATTTCATGGGGTTGCACAGGTGCAAAACTTGTCCCCTTTCTAAAAGTTCTCATAACTGAGGCCTCAATTTATGACAATTCACACAACTCAGTGTGATCAGGTGAAAGTCTAAGCTTTAAATAATGTGTGAGACTTGTAAAGATATTAGTGTATCTAAAGATGATGCCAGCAGTTTCAATAGGAAAATCTTTGCCATACTACTGATACAGATGGTAATTTTCAAAGTGGTAATGAGCCGTTAACAGATACATGCTTAACCTACCATTTCACTGAGTGAGAACAGTGTGAGTAGACAGATGACATCACAGTGGTACTCGTCATGATGGTGAATGCAAACTTTTCGTTTAACAGCTTCATTAAATTAATTGGTTCAAAAAAAATAAATTAATCATGGACTGTTTTCACTGACTTGTTGCACTTTTCTTTGTACTCCCATTGGAAGGAATCTGGAAGAAACCTGTCTTTGCCTATATTGCTTCTCAAATGGTAGTATTTGTCTACAGAGCCACTTAGAGCTTTGCCGTAGTAGTGAAGCTGGGATCCAAGTATCTGCTGTAGTACAAACACATCACAAGAGAGAAATATGGCAGAGGGCACTGTCAAGGCAGAACATCTTATATGCATGGATTGTGTGGCAGTCAGATGTACTGATCTGTTGACATGATAGAAAAGTATATAAGGTCACGGTTAAGGATTTGCATTAGAGGGCAAGCTTGAAGCAGAGATACATATTGCTTTTGGGTATCTGTTAGACCAAGTGAAAGATCTAAGGAGCATTGGAGTGTGTTATCAACGGTGGTGTAGGCAACATGTGAAAGTGGAAAGAAATATACAAGTCTCTTCCTTTGACTTAATTTCCATGTTTCCAAGATGAGAGTTAATGGGGAGTGTCTAGCCCCAACCTTAAATTGTCATCAAATATAGCTTGTGTTTGCGAATGTGTACCTGATCTTCCATGGAAGTGACGGATGTGTAATGGAATAGGAACAGTATCTTCCTCACTGTGTGGACACTCTGGGAATCAAATATCTAACTCTGCTATCACGCAGAACTGAATTAAATCAAGGAACTTGCCTGTATTGTTTTTTTTCAGTTGTAGGCAGCAGTGTGGTTCAGTGCATAGGCCCAACTTGTAGGAAGAGTTTCCTATTCAAGAAAGAGGTGAATGGAGAATGTTGGAGTCCTGGTAGATAACCAGCTAACCGTGAGTTCCCAGTGCAGTGTTAGTCACGAGGGCTAATACAATCCTTGGATGTGTAAACAGGGGAATCTAGAGTTGAAGTAAAGGGCTTTTATCTTGTGTTTGACACAGGTGCAACCAGTGCTGGAATACTACTATGTATAGTTCTGGTGTCTATAGTTCAAAAGAAAGTTGATAATTTAAAGAATACTTATAGTATTAGAAAACATCCCCTTATAATGATAGGTCCAAAGACCTCAAGCTGTTTAGCATGAGAGACTAATGATACACCCCTTAACTTTCCAAATATCTATTTGGAGAATGAATATTAAATTAATAGCCTTTTCAGTCTAGCAGAAACGGGTCTAATGTAATCCAAAAGGTGGAAGCAGAAGCCAAACTTGGAGTGGAAATAGTGTAAAATTATTTTAACACTGCTGGTAATTCACCACTGGAACAATTTATAGATTGTAGTGAATTCTATCAAAGACAACTTCTAAATCGAGATGATGTTTTCTAAAAGATATATATGGTCTAGGAATAATTGTACAGAATTTCTATAGCATGTGTTTATATAGGAGGTCAGGTTAAATCAGTGGCCTCTTCTGGCTATGGAATCTATGAATGTAGTTCAGACCTGGGACCGCTGCTTGGCTCTGCCAGTCACTTGCTGCATGACCATGCATCAGTAATCTGAAGCTGGCCCTTCAGTTACTTCATCTGTAGCATAGAGATGAAACTTAATCGCCTTTGCAAAGTGTCTTTGGCTTTATGGAAGAAAAGTGCCATATAAGCTTATCATTTGATCAAAAGGGAGTGATCACCTTCATAGGAGCTGTAGCCAGCCGCTCCAAGGACTGATTGCTATGGCTCGCTCTGCCTTGTTCTCCTCACACACAGTAGAAGGAAATAAAACCAAAGGCGTGAACAGACAAAATGCCTTAATGAGAGAGAGAAAATATTGGGTGATGTCAGAACACCTTTGTGTCCTGAAATTTAGATGGCTGATCAAGTTTCTTTATAGTAAAGAAATATTTAAATTGTGTATACATGACCCTAAAAGAGTGTTACGAGGAGGAAGGAGAAAGATGATTCTCCTTCAAGTCTGATGATAGGACAAGAAGCAATGGGCTTAAATTGCAGCAAGGGAGATTTAGGTTAGCACTGGAATAAATTGCCTACAGAGGTTGTGGAATTTCCATCATTGGAAATATTTAAGAGCAGAGGAGACAAACATCTGTCGGGGAGATTTAAATGGGGCTTGATCCTGCAATGAGTGCAAGGGACTGGACTTGATGACCTCTTTAGGTCCCTTCTAGTGCTTGTATACTATTCTAGATTTTAAAATTGAGCCTAACCCACATAGGTGGGCTATAATTTTTATAGGGAGGCTACTTCATGAATTTTGGTACCTGGAAGGGAGCCAGCCACAGGCCTCTGTAAGGGCAGAAGGGGTGTGGCTGAGAGCTACAAAGAGAATGTGTGAGTGTGAAAGAGACACTTTGTGTGAGACACACTTTGACACAGTTTGTAGTAGTGTGTCTAACAATGACTGGGTGTGGCACAGACTGTGTGTGACCCTGACCAGTGTGCTGCTGGGTAAGTTTCTAAGAGAAGACATGCTCTGTCTCTAAGGAAAAGCTGTCCTACTCTGCCTTCACTCTTCGTCCACTCTGCACTCCTCTGAGTCACTCACCATCCATGTTTCAGATTGGAGCAGCTTTGCTATGTATCTCCCTCTCCCCAACCCCTGCTCTGTAGAGATCAGATACAGGGTAAGGATGTCAACATGCAGACAACTACATGATTAACTAATAAGCCTTGGCTTATTAACTGATTTGTCAACTACACACGCACACCCCTTGCTGCATCTGCATCAGAGGCAACGGGGAGCCAGTGCCCATGAGGAGCTGACTTTAAACAGGCTTGCCACAAGCACCAGCTCCACCTGTCCCTCCCCCCTCATGCTGCTGCCTTTGAGGGGCACAGGCTGGAGCCAACACATGGGGAGACAGCTTTCAAGCCAGCTCTATGCGTGACAGCTCCGTGGACCCACCTGCCCCCCCTTACAGTTCCTACAGAGGCAGCAAGGGTGGGTAGGCAGGAGCCGGCTTAAAAGCTGGTTTCCCCCAGCACCAGATCTGCAGTGCCTGC